TCCTCTCCTCTCCTCCCCTTCCCTCCCCGCCTGCCCTCTCCTCTCCTCTCTTCTCTTCCTTTTTGACAGTGCTGGGGATCTAACCCAGGCCTCATTCACACCAAGCATACAGTCTACCACTGAGCCATTCTCCTAGCCCCAACTACTAATTTTTTAAGGTCACTCTGCTTCCTTGTTCTCCAAATGGGATCCATACTGCTGCCCTCACCGTCTCCTGCAGTTGTTCTAAGAAACTAATGAGACAATGTGAATCGACTACAAGGTGTTCAGTAAGGAACAATTCTTTGTTGTTTTGTTTCTTTGTTTGTTTTTGCACCAGGGATCAAACTCAGGTCCTTGCGCTTGCAAGGCAGGTGACAGAACCACTGAGCCAAATCCCTGGCCTAAGGAACAATTCTTTTCCAACATCCCAAACAGGATTGGATGCTGAATGCCCCTTGGACAGACACACCCACTTCTCTTGCCAAGCCACCCTCCTTGCTTCCTCAGGTGTCTTCATTAGCCTGCTACCCAGTCTCCCCTATTCATTCTTTTTAAAAAATTAGTACATGTTTATAATTCATATAGTTTATAATCATCTAATTCAGTCTTGTCTCCCTCTAGCTCTCACTCCTCACAGCAGCCAGTGAGCTCTTATCAAATGCAAATCTGATTGAGTCACTTAAAACCCCCATGGCTTCCCAGCAGTCCTGGGACTCAGTCCAACTCCTTGAGCTGGCCCTGCTGACAGTGCACCACCCCAGCCTCCGCTGGTATATGATTCCCTGAACTCTGCTCTAGCCCCACTGCCTTTCCCACTAGGCCCAGACCTCCTTGTTGTTTCCCTTTATCACATCCAGGTTTTTCTAAGCTATCTGCCTCCCACCTCCACCTGCTGCTTCCATCCTGCCGCCCAATCACACTCAGCCTGGCCAACCTCTCTGTTCACCCCTGGACAGCTCCATAGGTATCGGCTCCTAAGGGCAACCTTCTCATTCCAAGATTAGGCCATCGCTACTATAAAATTTCAGAACCCCCTTTTCCCCATCACCTCTAATTCTACTTATCAGTACCTGTTGAGCATTTATTTCTCTCACAGATATAAACTTAGAGACAATGTGAATGTGATTTCTGGTCTGCCATTAGATATCTGCCATAGTGTCTGGCCCAAAGGAATGTTCTCAGCATATTTTACTGAATGGGTGAGTGCCAGGGGCTCACTAGAAGGCAAGGACTTGAGCACTGTCCATCTGCAAAAAGCAGCTCCATCTCTGTTCTACCTATGTGATATATTAAAGTTTAGTGATAATATGTAACTTCCTGAACCAAAAACCAAGCTCCAGCGAAGGCCAAGCTATCTTTTGATCTCCACACTCAATTTCAAAGTCTTCTCCAATAATTCCCTCCTGCAAGATTTAACCATTTTTATCAGTATATACTTCATTTAGTATATTCTTTGGGCTTTTCTCTACACATTTATATCTACTTGGTGGGTATTCATATATGCACACTTATGCATCATTATGGAAAGTACCCATTGCATATACTATTATATTCTCCCATATATATGTATATAAATAGAACTGCTATCCTATACATGAGGATTTTTCTTACTTTGCCAATTTGCCTTCACAGACAGATAGTTCTATCATAGCTAAGGTGAAGAATGTTGAAATTATTTCCTAAAGCTTAATTCTAGTAAAGGAAACTTAGAATGGTTTTGGCAGGTGTAATGGATTAGGTTCTTAACACTGTGCTGTGTTCCCACCCCAGACTTCCTCTGCCCTCCCTACAAAGCTGTGAGATGAGCACGGTATGTAACGGTGCTTTATTGTATAGCTAAGGAAACTGGGGCTGGAGGTTAAGGGCAGAGGCCTCAGGTTCAGGGCTGACATTGGGGTTTCTTGGTCACTGTCCACCCTGTGCTCCACCTTCCCAGGGTCTAACACTGGAAGCCAAAACTGGCCCGATTTCTTTTGTCTCAGTCCAGGACGTCAACATCTCCCTGTGGCGCTTGCCGGAAAAAGTGAAGTCTGACAAGAGTGTCTTCATGAATCAGGGAGAGTGGGAGTTGCTGGGGGTCCTGACCAAGTTTCTGGAGTTCTGTGACAGGGAAAGCAGGGGCTGCTATGCAGAAATGAAGTTCTATGTGAGTGGGACTGGCTGGGGGGAATGTGGTGACAAAAACTATTAGACCTTCACACCCAGAGGACTAAAGGAGCATGCTGGAAAGACCTTCCATAGCCCCCTTCCAACTTCACTGTGTCATTCATCCCCTCCAGGGTCACCTAAACAAAGCATATGGGGAAATGCAACTGAATTATTCCTTACTTATTCCTGATATCTATAAGCCTCCGGATGGAAAGGCAGGGTATACTGCCTGTCCATTTCCTTCTCTGAACGATCCGGGTCAGAAACTCCTTGAAGTGAGAGGGTGTGGGCTAGGGCTGTGGTTTCTGGGGGCGGACTTTGTCTGTGTCAGGCTTTCTTCAAGCTCCTCTCTTGGTCCCAGGTGGTTATCCGCAGGCGGCCCCTATTCTACGCAGTCAACTTGCTGCTGCCCAGTATCTTCCTCATGATCATGGACATTGTGGGCTTCTACCTGCCCCCGGATAGTGGCGAGAGGGTCTCCTTCAAGATCACACTCCTCCTGGGCTACTCAGTCTTCTTGATCATTGTGTCTGACACGCTGCCAGCCACTGCCATCGGCACTCCCCTCATCAGTAAGGCCTCCCCTGTGGGAAGGGCTCACTCAGCATGAGGAGGAGCCAGCTCCTCCTGCCTCTCTTGTGTGTCTCCCCCATCCTGTAACACTGCCCCATGGTACACAGGTGTCTACTTCGTCGTGTGCATGGCTCTCCTGGTGATAAGTTTGGTGGAGACCATCTTCATCGTGCGGCTGGTACACAAGCAAGACCTGCAACAGCCTGTTCCTCTCTGGCTGCGGCACCTTGTTCTGGAGAGAATCACCCAACTACTCTGCCTAGGGGAGCAGTTGACCTCCCATAGGCCCCCAGCCACCTTGCAAGCCACCAAGACTGATGACTGCTCAGGTGAGAAAGGAAGGGGGAGAGTCCCATAAATAGGGGCCATTTCTGGTTTGGTTGCAGGGACACAGTAGGGAGTCTCTGAAAGGAGTGGTATACCAAGGCCCTTGGGCAGGACCTGAGGACTTGTTGCAGTCTTGTGTACGGCACCCCACACACAGACTTGTTGGGAACAGCTAAAGGTGTCAGTCTAGACCCTTGCTTTACTTCCATACCTTTCATAGGTCCAGCTGTGGACAGAAAGGGTGGGAGCCCTGGAGGCTGAACAGGTCAGGAGCTGAGCCCTCTGGGCTGAGAGAGGCCTCTGAGATGGACACATAGTGAAGTCAGATTGGTGCTCTGTGGGTAGTTATTTGCCTCCTGGGATCATATGGTAAAATACTGCAGCTAGAGTTTCTAATACTCATCCATTCTAAGCAGCCCCGGGCCTGAGTCCCTCAGAATTTAACACCTGAGGGACAGAGGGACGGGCTCAGAGACACACTAAACACAGAGCTCATATTTCCTGAATTTGCAGTGTTTGGTTGGCTAGCTTATTTGCCGAGCACTTTGTGCCAAGTATATGAAAAGTACTTTCTGAACATTACCACATTTAATACTCATGAAAACCCAGTGTGATTGTCATTCTGGGTCTCAAATGAGAAACAGAAGCATAGAGAGACTAGATGCCCTGTTTCAGAACGAGGAACTGAAAGGAACACGATCAAATCCAGGCCCAACCAACTCTAGGACTGGGTTTTTCATCTTTTCTCTCCACTCTGATCCTTTTTGTCCTTCCTCCTGACAGGATCCAGACCTTCTACCAAGGCCACTAGGCCATCTAAGACCATGAGCAAGTGAACTGATTTCACCTAAAGGTCATTATTTCTGAAGGTGTCCAGAAGGACTTGGAGTCATAGAGAGGAGCTATGCCCTTCTGAGGAAAATGATATGGTGGAAAGAGCAATGAACTAGGAATCTAGTTACCTGGCCTAGGTGGTCTGGCCATTAAGTGATGCACCAGCTTCGTTAGTGACTTAGCCTCTCTGAGTTTCAACATCATCATTAAAAAGGAGGAACAATTATCATTGGGCAATTAGAACCTTCAAATGAAAGAACAGATGGGGCCAGGGATGTAGCTCAGTGGCTCCCTGCTTTTGTGGCAAGCACAAGGTCCTGAGTTCAGTTCCTGGTACCCTCCCCACCAAAAAGAAAGAAAGAATGGTTGTCAGATTGCTGAGGAAATCCTACGGAATTCAAAAATGCACAGGAAGGCTAAACACTAATTTCATGATGCTGCTGACTTGAGGAAGGGTAAAGGATGTGACTCAGGTGGGGTGTACAATTACCCTCAATCATATTGGCTTTTAAAATTAGTTTAAAGTGGATGGTGTCTATACACATATGTGAGTTATTCTAAATATGTCTTGCACTGATCATAACAACTTCTGCAGACATAAGGAACAATGTTCAGGCCAGCCCACTGGCCTCCCTCCCTTACCAAGGCCCTATCCTTCTTCCAGCCATGGGAAACCACTGCAGCCATTTGGGAGCACCCCAAGACTTGGAGAAGACCACAAGGGGTAGAAGCAGTCCTCCCCCACCACCACGGGAGGCCTCCTTGGCTGTGCGCGGGCTGCTGCAGGAGCTGTCTTCTATCCGGCACTTCCTAGAGAAGCGGGATGAGATCCGGGAGGTGGCCCGGGACTGGCTGCGTGTGGGCTCTGTGCTGGACAAGCTGCTGTTCCGCATCTACCTGCTGGCAGTGCTGGCCTATAGCATCACCTTGGTAACACTCTGGTCTATCTGGCATTATTCTTGAGTGGATACAGCCCAGTCCAGTAGTGCAAGGAACATGGAGCTGGTTAGGAGGGACCAAGCCAGGTCTGAACCTCCCCCCAAAGCACAGTGTTCAGTACCCTTACATTCCACACACCCCCAAAGGCCCATTATGGCTTTGAAACATGCTATCTTAGATCATTCCCTATCTCTGCTCTGTGTATCTATGCATCAAGTCTGTTTTCCCATTGGCACTTCTCTGGAATTCTGCTCATTTCCAACAACCTTGTTTTTAGATAGAGACAAAACCATCGCTGTAATACTCAGACCTGAAAATTTTGCACTTGGTTTATCCAGAACCTAACATCTTCACCTCACCTGTAGCCACTTCTTAACTTTCCTGCCCCACCAGCTGGGGCTGGGGTTAGATAATAAAATGCAATGATGCCTTAAACTCTCTTCTTCATTCTTTGTCAGCGGTTTGGGGGAAAGGTTGGTGGGTGGAAGAAGTTTGACGTTTCTAGTTGAAATGAGGCTTGAAGATTATTTGTAGTTTTCAGGGAACTAGGCAGCAAAATGATAGCTATTATGATGAAGAAAACAGGATGTGGGATTTATGTGTGGTGTGAGAATCAGGGCTGTGAACACTTAGTGATGGAGAGGGAAGAGGAGGAAGCTCAGTTCTGTGCCTTGTGGAAAGATTCCCAAGGGACTCACACAGTCCTATCATTGTTCTGGGTTTAGGATCCCTCCGTGAAACTGGGAACAAGCGAACTTTCTCCCTGCAAGAGAATTCTGCGTTGGCGACAAGAACTTCAGCACCACGGCCAGCGCACACCAATCTGGCGCCTAAAAAAACACCAAGAAAGTCAGGCCTTAGGTTTACCCTTGGGCATTCTCACAGCCAGTCCCTGACAGCCCACCAGGAAAAACAAAACAAACAAACAAACAAAAAACATTAAGGGAAGTAGGGTTGGGATAATGTATTTTTATCTCATATCCTGGCCCTCTGTCCTAGACATCAGGGCTTAAAACAAGCTAAGGAACACTAACTCCATCACTCCACCCACCTAACAAGCATTCAGAGAAGAGGACTGCTAGACCCCATCAGAGGTGACCTGTTCAGATGGCCACGATGCATAGACGAGGCTTCCTTAGCTCTCCAATGCTCATTCTAGCTTCATCCTTCTCTGTCTTGGTTTGCCTGATACTCATAAAGCACTGAATGCAGCCAAGTTAAAGGAAAAGGACCCAACAGAAGTATATTGAAAGTAAGTATATCCACTGTTTTTTCCACTGTTCTAGCCAGCCAATTATAAGAGATTCAGTAAGGAATATGTGAAATGTTATATTCTCCTAACCTCAAACCATGCAATTTTAGTTTATAAACCAACCTGGAGGCTCGACAGAGGGCAGAACCATGGACAGAACCCCTGGGTTCTTCTGTCTGAAACAGCCTGCAGGCTGGGGAAGGGCCTCCCCTGGTTCAGCTTCTCTGGGCTTCTCACCCCAGGTTCTCCGGCATACACAGTAATTACCACCTGACTATCCATTCCTAAGGTGACCTGAGCATGAGGCTTCATTTGCCACCTCCACCCCAGATACATATGCTTTGCTGTTACTTAGGGATTTTATATTTAGTTTTGTTTTGTTGATGGGTAGGAATCAGGGATGGTCCCCATTCACCATTGCTGCCTCTGGCTGAACAAGATTGGGTGAAAAATGGGGACTGTTCCTCTCTTCTTGCTCAAGATGGCCCCCGCAGCCCGAAGGTTGGAGTTTGGTTTTAGGACCAAAAGCTGCCCTGCTCCGCTAGACCCTGCTTGGGCCAGTCACACTGTTAGGTGATTCTGATGTCTCAGGTCACAGCGACGGAAAGCTGTACAGTCTGGCACTGTCAATGCACCACTGGTCAGTAAGTGGGTGGCTATTGACAAAGTGTCCAACCAGAGAGCCAGTGAGACACTAATCAACCTATTGATTCTCCATCTCCCCCTCCTCACCCTTCACCCACAATCAATGGGGCGACAGAGCCCAGCATTGAGGCAGCCAATTAACCACCCTGAGAATGAGGCTCCACGTGTAACATCTTCTGCTCTACTAGCCACCTCCAATCAGCTCATTGATCTGACAGCTGAGCTGTTCTGCCCAGGGATGGGAAACTGAGGCTTAGGACCAGAGAGCTCCCAGGACACCAACTCCTGTCCATCATTGTTGCTTTTGGTCTTCTCCCAAAGAGACATTTGCTGTGTGCATGGGGTGAGCACACCAGAATCCCCCTGGAATCTGGTACATCTCCTGGGACCTGTCCCCCCATACTTGCCACTTTGGCCCACTGCCTCACATCCTGCGCTAGGCAAAGAGAGGACACATTAAGCACTTGGGTTTTTATAAGTGCATTCTTCCTCATTTCATCTCTGTGGCAGCCTTCTCTGTGCGCCTCCCAAATACTCCCAATTCTCATCTCCTTTCCCCATCTGCCTCTTTCCAGAGCTATTTCTACTAAAAAGAGTCCATCAAAGCTTTTGAAAGTGCAGGCCGGACCCCTCAGCCTCTAGGCTCATGACTGCTGTTGGCGCCCTTGCTCCTGACTCCTGGCAGTCTGGACTCAAGAATCTCATCACCTCTCAGAAGTGGACAAGCAGTGGCTTCCAGAAGTCCAAGCAGGGAGGCCCATCTCAGAGGCAAGGGCAGGGGCTGAGGGGAGATTCTTTGAGAATTCAGAGGAGGAAAAGTTTCCTGGTTGGGTGAAGGCGGGGAAATGCGGTTCAGCATTCACAGGCCAGATTCTCTCTAGTGGACAAGCAGTGGCTTCCAGAAGTCCAAGCAGGGAGGCCCATCTCAGAGGCAAGGGCAGGGGCTGAGGGGAGATTCTTTGAGAGAATTCAGAGGAGGAAAAGTTTCCTGGTTGGGTGAAGGAGGGGAAATGCGGTTCAGCATTCACAGGCCAGATTCTCTTCCTCCCCCCTTCCCCCAGCCTCTGAATCAATACATTTTGAATCTAATCTAATAACAGAGATTTAACGAGGGGATAATGTGCGTGGAGCCGCCAGGCTCTTTGTCTCTCCTTTCATGCGGCAGCTGGGGCCCATTATCCGGGGACAATGCCCCGTGCTAATCACTCCCTCTCTTGCCTTCCAGTGCTTGGGGAGGGGTGTTGGGCAAGAGAGGGCAGCTCCTCCCTTGACTGGAGGGGAGGAGAGGGGAGGAGGGTAGAAGGGGGAGGAGGGGCTCCAGAAGGCTCTTGTCAGTCCTCACACAATTGTCCTGACCTGACACCCACTCACTGGCCTCCCCCCAGCCTCACTGTACACTGACCCCCACGAGGTCCAGGGAGCCCTACCAATGTACACAAATAGCAGATAATTAATTATCAGCGGCAGCCGGGTGCTAGAGTTGGTTGTTTTTTTTTTCTACCTTGGTCCTCTACAATTTAAAGCCACCCCACTGAGGCCTGTGATTGGCCAGCCCTGACTGTCATGGCTGGAGAATGAAACCCTGGTTTTAGGGAGCAAGACTGCCCTTCCCTGAAATGGGCGCCTCCTCCATACCATCTCGCTCTTCTATTTGGAGTCTGCAGAAAGAACCTCCTGATAATACTATTCCTAACAGGAATTAAATCAGGAGTCTGAGAAGGAGAAATAAAATCCCGTTTTCTGTGAACAGAACTTTTATCTCTCCAGCTTGGGAAGGGGCAGACAGTGGGGACATCTGCCTCAGTTTCCTAGCACACTCTAGTGAGGAGGAGCCCAGAGCCAGCACACCAGAGGCCTGGCCACTCCCATTCCTTTCTGAAACACATTTAAAGGGGCACAATAGAAGAGTGCTTCATGGAGTTGACCCCAAATGGAAAGTTCGGTTCCATCACAGGTCATCCGTAGAGCTGACTTGCAATTACCCCTGTGCCTCCTGAGAATGGACACTCAGCTCCTCAGGTGTAAAACAAGGAGCACATTAGAGCTTGGCTCACAGGTGCAGTGGGCACCATGGCCCAGCATGGAAACACCCAGGGCAATTGTGAGGCTGGGGTAAAGAGGCCCAGTGGCACATCAGCCTTCCTCAGACCTCTCACATCATGATTTGAACAGTGGGAGCCACACCCCGGCAGACACAGGGCAAGAGGCCTTTATCTTTCTTGTTTATTTGTTTAGGCAATATGGGGACTGAACCCAGGAGCACTCTACCACCAAGCTACATCTCTAGCTTTTCTTCTAATTTTGAGACAGAGTCTCATGAAGTTGCCCGGGCTAGCCTCAAACTTTCATTCCTCCTGCCTTGGCCTCCCCAGTAGCTGGGACTACAGGCATGTGCCACCACACCTGGATATTGTCTCTGTCTGAGGGGTGAGCTGGACTCCCACCACAGAAACAGGGGATATAAGTTCCTGTCCCACCAGGCTGTATCCAGGTCTCTGTGTCCTGTACCCTTGTGCTCCTTTCTCTCCCACTGCAGCTCTCTCACCACCTGTGCACAGTCATAACTTCTTTGCATAGAATTCTTCTCTGAAGGGGGTCCATCCTGATCCTGCTTGGGTCTCGCCCATGAATGCTACCTTCTGTGCCCTGTGTTTGAAAAAAAAACTAAGATCTTAGCAGAGAGATGCACCATGAGTAATGATATCTGGGACAATGGGATCCAGTAAATTCACCTGCATGTGCCCAGGAGAACCCTGCACTCAGAACTGAGAAGCATCTATCCTAAGGCTCCTGACAGATGTCAATCTTTAGCCAAAGACCGCTGCAATCCTGTGTTCCAGATTCTGTCCACAAGGTGGCAGCAAAGTCCAGAAGTTCTACGGAGGGGTCAGCCTGGTCCATTTTATTGCCCCTTTCCCTGCTTGCCCTCCCGGCACCCTTGTCCTTCTACAGCAGCCTTCCTTCAAGCCTGGCCCTTTGCTTTGGGCAAGCCCTGAGGATGTCGTTCCAGGGTGCTTCATGCCCTTCCGTGACCCTCTGGCCAACCTGGGCCATGGCCTCAGCTTGGTCACACAACAGTTCCCAGGGCCGGTGAGCCTCCTGATTGTGTGCTCAGGCTTGGACGACTCACAGGGCTACATACTTTGTCGTTCTTTCTTTCCGCCTTTCGTGTGATGAGGACACTGGTGCTGACGGCAGTGAAGTTCCCCAAGCCATGGAGGACTCACCTTTCTCTTCTGCCCCTGTCTCTAAGGTCTGCAGTCCATCCCACAGCTGCTCTGAGACTCTCCGTGCCCCTGCGAAGGCGGGATGGAGGGGGTGCTGGGAGCAGGAGCAGCTGAGCGGGGAGGGCAGGCCTCTAGCAGACTCACTCACTTAAGCCTCGGCTGGGGCCCAGTAAGTTTTTCTGGTTTTGTTTTTGTTTTTGGTACTGGGAGTCAAACTTGGGATTTTGTGCTTATGAGGCAGGCACCAGAAGCACTGAGCTAAATCCCTGCCCCACCCAAGTAGGGTTTTA